AAAAAAAAAAAAAAAAGTTAACCCATTCAGCTGCTAACTGAGGTTGGAGGCTCAAGTTGACCAGCACAACTCTGAAGAAAGGCTGTAAATCTACTTCTTAAAAACCAGCCATGGAAAACTCAAGAGAGCACAGTACTACTCAGACAGCACAACTCCAAAGCAACTGCTCCCTGGCTGACCGCTTGGAGCAACCACAGATTACACCTGGCCTCGCTGGAACCCTGGCTCTTGTGGGCAGCTGCATCATGCCCAGGGATAAATGGAAAGAAGAAACCCAACTTTGGGGGTGTTGGAGTCCATGTTTGCCCATTCTGTTTGTCTTCGAGCTTGCCCCGTGGCGACAGCAGATGGCCAGCGCCCCACAGGCCTCTGGGAGGGATTCTATGGCGCCTTTGACCGAGCAGACAATGCTGTTTGTCTCAGGCTTTCCTGTTTTTGATTCAGATTGCCCACAGCTCTCCTTTCTCCTCTCCTCTGACCCTGTGCACATGGTTTTGTCCAAGCCCAGGGCCCACTAAGCTGCAGGAAGAAAGCCTATACACCCACCACGTCCACCATCTCCCTGTGAGTCCATGTGATGGGGAAACTGTCCTCCCAGCAAAGAGTAGATGTTGTCCGTTCATGTCACGATACCTTTCTCAGGCTTGGAGCCAATGACCCCAGATCCCGGTAACAAGGAAGGCTTGCGTGAGCCATAGCTTTCCAGCTCTGCTTTCAGACTACTGTTCCCGTTTTGTGGATCCAATCATGTCTCTCAAAGTCCCTGGCCCCTGGAAGAACCCTAATGGCGCACTGATTCAGTGCTCAGATAATAATCTTAAGGTCAGCAGCTGGAACCAGCCACTCCTCAGAAGAAAGATGAGGCAGCATGCTTCCATCAAGATCACAACCTTGGAAACCCTACTCTGTCTTACAGGGTCCCTGTGAGTTGAAATTCACCAGACAACAATGGTTTTTTGTTTCTTTCTTTTGTTTGTTGAGGGTAGGCTTTAGGGAGTGGTGGGGTCTGTAGCAGACTACAACAGTTCCCAGAAGACACAGTAACTCTGATTCAACTCTTTTCTTTTGTTGCCAGGCACCTTTGGGATTGTCAAATCTTACCATTTTTCTACAGAAGTCTAAATCTAGAATCTAAAAGGTGGTTGTTGACACTGAGTTGGATCTGACTCAATGATACCAAAGACAACAGAACAAAACACTGCCGCTTCCTACACCATCCTCACAACTGTTGTTAACGTCTGAACCCAGTGTCGCTGCCACCGTGTCATTCCATCTCTTTGGGGTCTTCCTCTTTTTCACTGACCTTCTATGTTACCAAGCATGATGTCCTTCTCCAGGCACCGATACCTCCTGACAACATGTCCAAGGTACTAGAAACAAAGTCTTCCATCCTCACTGCTAAGGCATTCTGACCGTACTTCTTCCAAGACAGATTTCTCATTGTTAGGTACCATTAAGTCAGTTCCAATTCATAGTGACCCTATGTACAACAGAATGTAATACTATCCAGTCCTGTACCATCCACACAATTGTCGTTAGATATATCTGAGTCCAACATTAAGCACAATGAAAATTACTCGAGAACCACAAGAGATCACTCTTTTCCTAGGATACACAACTGACTGGAGACATGAATTGCTCACACAGAGATGGTTAATGTCACACTATGTTTTTTTAAAAATCGTCACACAAGTGGACCATGCAGTTCCAACTATGCTGTTGAAAGGTCAACCGTACAGGCTGTGTGAACAGAAAATGATGAGGGGAAGAAGGCTCTGGCTGGTCTCCAGGGGCTAACACTTGATTTAGTTGAGGGACATTTTTGAAGAGAAAATGCTTCAGCTCAGCATATAATGAAATATTTTCCAGTAGCGGATTCTGGATATGGGATGAGCTGCCTCGGAAGGTGGTGAGTTCTCCATCACTGAAGGTATCCAAGCACAGGCAGGATGACCATCTGGGGAGGACACTGCAGAGGGCTTCACGCTTCAATGGCATCATCGAACCTAGAAGCCACTCCCAAGTGTGGCCCCAGCGTCTGACTGCAGAATGGCCTTTGTGTCTCAGCTGGATTGGAATGTGCCACAGCAAATCTACCAAGACGATCGCTGTCGTGCGCTCTCTACTTTTACAATAAACACAAAGTTGTGGCACTGGCCTCAGGGTCCCCATGGTAGGGACTCCTCTGAATAGAAAGTCATCAGAAAGGTCTACAAAAAGGTCTCATTGTTGGATCCTGGGGGACCTGGGCCATGTTTCTCCATTAATGGGTTTCCACGCCACTCCCCACCTCTTGCCTTATAGCCAGCAGGCTTCATTCATTGATAAGTCTGGGGGTAAAGGTCCCTGCCAAAACCACCACTTGGAGTCACACAGGGGGTATTAAGGGTTCCCAGTGCACAGCTTTAGGGACACCCTCACATAGCTAGGATGCTGTGTATGGTCACTGTGCCCCCAGCAGCCCGGCAGCAAACCAGAAACACAGCACGAGAGCAAGAGATGCCCATTTGTTTCTTACAGCTGATCGTTTGGGGGGGTTTTTTGGTTGTTGGTGGTTTTTAATGTTTTATTGTGAATTATGTGATAGTTTACATGGGAGAGCATTCGCTTTACATTCATCCTATCATATGTTGCTTCATTGCCATGGTTACAATCCCCTCCATGCATCATCAACCAACAAAGGGTATAGCCTGCAAGCCTGCGCCCCGGTCATTAGCACACAGCCCCTCTCCCTCTTTGGGTTTAGAGTCCCCAGCTGCTCCATCTCTCCATGTCATCATCTCTGCCTCCATCTCTGGCATCACTGCTTCTCTGGGTAGGGTCCCGCACTCTGCTCTTCTCCCCTGATGGTCCCAGGGACCTCTGCTCCTAGACTGCAAAGTCAATCACTCCTCTCCTTTTGCTATAAAACATCTACCTTTACAATTCCAACCCTCACATTCAGTACTGATAACAATTATTCACTATTGTATCACAAGAGACCTATCCCCATCTCCTTTCATCAGTCCCGCCTAGACAGACTGGATACTACTCAGTGGAGATTCTACTTTCCTCCGCACCCTCTGGATCTAGGCTCCCTCTTGAAAGCTTGTAAGCCAGTCGCTTCTTGCCTTTGTAGCCCCCCATTTTGGGTTTGTAGCCAAGTCCAAGTTGCCCATCCCTGTCTACTCTGTGTATAGAGGGGGTGGGAATGAGCCTTGCTATAAAGATTTGTTCCCTCTTTTGAGCTACTGCATCCATAGGTATAAGTCAAGTTCATCCAATTGTATCAGATTACTCTTTTTTGCCTCTTCTTCCTTCTTCTAGTTGAGCTCTGATCATCCGGTCATTGAAGCCAGGTCAAGTGGGTATTATCTGCAAGTATAGGTGTTCTTATAGTTGATCTGTTTTGCCTGATAAGGTGAATGGGATTTATTTCCATTTCAGTAGACTATTGAAATAGTTGTATTCAACATTAGCTGTTGTTAGGTAGCATCGAGTTGGTTCCAACTCATGGCGTTCCCATGTGCAATAGAAACAAAACACTGTCCAGTCCTGTACCATCCTCACAATTGTTGTTTGAGTCCATTTTTGCTGCCACTGTGCCAATCTAATTCATTAGGGTTTTTCCTCTTTGTCTCTGATGCTATATTAAATTGTTGTTGTTGTTAGATGCCATGTTGTTATTGTTAGGTACTGACATAGATCAACCCTATGCACAACAGAACAAAACACTGCCCAGTCTTGGGCCAACCTCACAATTGTTGCCATGCTTGAGCCCGTTGATGCTGCCACTTTGCCAATCCATCTCACTGGGGGTCTTTCTCTTTTTCTCTTACCCTCTACCTTAACAAACATGATATCCTTCTCCAGTAACTGGCCCCTCCTGACAATATATCTGTATGAGCGACGAAGTGTGGCCATCCTGAACTCCAAGGAGCACTGTGGCTACACTTCTTCCAATGTAGATCTGTTTGTTCTTTTGGCAGCCCATGGTACTTTCAATATTCTCCTCCAACATCATCACTCAAAAGCATCAATTCATCTACAGTCTTCCTTATTCACTGTCCAGCTTTCACATGAATATGAAGTTATTGAAAATACCATGGCTTGGGACAGGCGCACCTTAGTCCTCAAGCTGACATCTTTGCTCTTCGACACTTTAAAAAGATCCTGTGATGCTGATTTGCCTAATGCAATATACATCATTTGATTTCTTGACTGTTGTTTCCATGAGTGTTGATAGTTGATCCAAGAAGAATGAAGTTCTTGACAACTTCAGTCTTTTCTCCATTGATAAGATTGTTTATTGTTGTTTATTGGTCCACTGGTGAAGATTTTTGTTTTTTTTTTACATTGAGATGCAATCCACAAGGCTGTGGTCTTTGAAATTCATTAGTAAATGTTTTAAGTCCTCTTGACTTTCAGCAAGCAAGGTTGTATCATCTGCATATTACAGGTTGTTAATAAGACTTCCTCCAATCCTGATGCCACATTTTTCTTCATAGAACCCAGCTTCTCAGATTATTTGCTTAGCATACAGGTTAAATAAGTATGGGGAAAGAATGCAACACTGTCACACACCATTCTTAATTTTAAACCATTCAGTGTTCCCATGTTCTGTTTAAACTGCCTCTTTGTCCATGTACAGATTCCTCATGAGCACAATTAAGTGTTGCGGAATACTCACACTTTTTCGCAATGTTGTCCATAGCTTGCCATGATCCACACAATCAAAAACCTTTGCATAGTCAATAAAGCACAGGCAAACATATTTCTGATAGTCTCTGCTTTCAGCCAAGATCCATAAGACATCAGCAATGATATCCCTCGTTCCTCTTCTGAATCCGGCTTGAACCTCTGGAAGTTCTCTCTCAATGTATGATTGCAGCTGTTTATGTATTACCTTTAGTAAAATTTTACTCACATGGGATATCAAAGAGATTGTCTGATGATTTCCACATTCCGTTGGGTCACCTCTCTTTGGAATGGGCACAAATACGGATCCCTTCCAATCAATCAGCCAAATAGTTGTCTTCCAAATTTCTTGGCAGAGATGAGTGAGTGCCTCCTGTGCCACCTCACTTTCTTGAAAGATTTCAATTTTTATGCCATCAATTCCTGGTACCTTGTTCTTTGCCAATTCCTTCAATGTGCCTTGGACTTCTTCCTTCAGGATCATTGGCTCTTGATCGAATATTACCGATAACAGTTGAACATCAACCATTTCCTTTTGGTACAGTGACTCTGTGTATTCCTTCCATCTTCTTTTGATGCTTTCTGCATCATTCAATAATTTGCCCAGAGAATCTTTCAATAACGAAAGTCGAGCTTGAATTTTTTCTTCAGTTCCCCCAGCTTGAGAAATGCTGAGCGTGTTCTTCCTTTTTGGTTTTCTGATCCCAGATCTTTGCACATTTTGTTGTAGTATTTGGCTTTATCTTCTTGAGCATTCAATACTCATACATAAATTCATCTTGAAATCATCCTTGTTGATGTAGTTGGCATTAGGGAAGGTTTTTTCTTCCTCGCTGACATTCTATAAAATGAGGGATCTTTTTATAAAGCCACTGCTGATCCCGTGAGCTACTCATATGCTTGCACACATGGCTTTCTGGCATGATAACAATAACTGTGTGGATGGAATGCACCCTGGTGGGCCCTCACAATTACCCAGAGAGTCAAGTGAACAGAGGTAATAATACAGCCAACACTTTCATTGATAGTTTTTGTGTGCCAGGCACATAACCAAACCAAACCAGACCTGTCACTAGCAAGCTGATTCAGACCCATGTGTTAGAATATGGAACTGTTCAGTGGCAGTTTCCTGGCTGCCATCTTGACAGAAGAAAATTACCAGGTCTTTCGTCTGACGTGCCAAAATGGATGGGTTTGAACCACCAACCTTTCCACTTGTAATTGAGCACAAACTGTCTACATCACCCAGAGACATTACTACGTGTGTCTACTACTGCGTTCCATCCTCAGTGGTGGGCTATACTCTGTTACTGTCTCCATTTTACAGATGAGAAAACTGAGGGTCAGACAGGAGACATGTCTAAGACTACAAAGTCGGAGGTCAAATCCACATCATCCAACTTCAAGAGCCATCTGCAGGAAGGGAGCCAAGGCAGGGGGGGATTCTCTCCCAGCTGGGACAGAGCGGAGAACCCGGGTCAGTTTGGATAATTCGAGGCAAGATGGCACCAGTGAGTTTTATTGGTTCTAAAAAGTACAAATGTCAAATCTAAAGCATCCAACTGTTTTTTACCTCTCAAGTGTCTTGAAGGACTGGATGACATCCTTTGCGTGTCCCCAAAGGAAATACACCTGGATGGAAATAAAGGAAGAAAAGAAATGCACATCAGCGGGAAACTATCATTACCTTGGCAACTTAAGGAAGAGGTGTGGGGACACAGTGTCAGAGACAATCGGGGCAGCAGTTCTCTATGCTCTGAGGAGATGAGGCAGAAATGGTGCTGCGATTGATTGGAGATGTCTGCTGTGGGATGGGGAGGGGATGTGGAAAGTGGAGGCCTGCCTGCCATGATCCCTGCTTGTAAGGTTTTGTCCAAGAAACATCCATGGAACAGCTACCATGCACAGTGACCAGAACACAGACATGGAGGGCTGTCCATGAAGACTGGGCCAGGCCAATCTTTTATTTCACTCTTTGACATCAGCAACCCAGTTCCTCTGGTGGTAAAGACAGTTAATGCACTTGGCTCCTAACCAAAAGGAGTTTGAGTCCACCTAGAGGCACCTTGTAAGTAAGACCTGGCAATCTACTTTAAAAAAAAAAAAAATGTGCCATTGGAAACCCTATGTTCTGAAACCATGTTGGCTGGTTGAACCCACAAAACTATTGCCTTGAGATCATCTTTTAAACTTTCAACACAAAATATCCCCTGAAACCTTCTTAAAATCAAACAATTGTTGTTGATAAGTGTTGTGGAATCGGTTCCAACTCATAGCCACCCTATACAGGGTTTCCAAGAAGCAGCTGATGGTTTTGAACCGCTGCCCTTGTGGTTCACAGTCCAGTGCTAATCCTACAGCGCCACACCAGGAGTGCATGCAACACTGCAGCTTAACTAGGAAAAAATGTCTGTCACGAGTGTTACGCTCTTTTAATTGCTACTTACATGGGATCAGATCGAGAACAGCAACTCAAAAGATTAGACAGGAACCTTAGTATCTGGGTGACATCAGTGAAGAAGGAACAACTCGGGAGAGGGCGTCAGGGTGCTCCCACAACTTGAAGAATGTGATCACTATCACTGAATTGTACAAGGAGAAACTGTTGAGTTGGTGTATGTTTTGCTGTGAATAGTCTCAACACCAAAATCAATAGTATTTTTAAATAACAGAGAAGACCCTATGAAGCACAGATCTATTCTGACACATATTCCGTCACCAAACATTGGAGCCAACTCAACAGTAACTGGTATATGTCACGGTCATAGAACAACCAGTTGTTGTTGTTAGGTGCCATCATAAGAGAACAAAATACCACCCTGTCTTGCACCACCTTCACAATTATTGTCATGTTTAACCCCATTGTTGCAGACACTGTGCCAATCCATCTTAATGAGGGTCTTCCACTATTTTATTAACTCCTCTCTTTTTTATTGACTGCCCAGCACGATGTCCTTCTCCAGGGACTGGTTCCTCCTGAGAACATGTCTAAACTACAAGGTATGAAGTCTCGCCATTCTCACTTCTAGCAGTGTTCCAAGGAGTAGTTCTTCCAAGACAGTCCAGGATACTTTCTTAGAAATTCATGGTATTTTCACTGTTCTTTGCCAACGCCATAATGCATCCATCCTTGATCAAATGCAGCTACTCTTCTAGGGTTTTCTGTAGCAACATGAGGAGGCTTCAAAAAGCTCATGAAAAATTTCATTACCTCTTAACTCTATTTTCCCACTAACTTTTAATACAGGGTAGGGGTTGAGTGTGTGGATGCCGGTACACCCTATGAAAATTCTGACTCCTTCACTGCCCAGTCTCATGGCAGTGGGACTTCAGGGAACCTTTCTGTGTCTGTTTGCCCATCTGTGAAATGGGCATGAAAATAGAACCTACCTTGTAGGATATTATGGGTACCTACATGAGATAATCTATGCCAATCACTTCAAATGGCTCCAGGAGCATCTATGTTTTTAGTCAGTGTTTGCTACCATTGACATTGAGTGAGTGACTTCTGTATACCAGGTGTCACTGACTTTGATTAAGCACCTACTGTATATCCCACATCACTGACATCAATTGAACCCTGAATGTATACCAGGCATCATTTCAATTTCCATAACATTTTTCTAAAACCATGACTCATCATGGTGACCCCTAGGATTCTCAGTGAATGATTTATAAAAAGATCGCCAGGACTTTCTTCTGAAGCACCTCTGGATGGACTCAGCCTCCAACCTTCTGGTTTTCAAACACATGAAGTATTTGTTTCACCCAGGGACACCTTCAAAGAAACTATAATAAATAAAAACCTACTCAATGGTGACCCCGTGTGGGTCAGAGTGGAACTGTGCTCAGTAAGGCTGTCGACGACGGCTGGGATCTTTTGGAAATAGATCGCCAGACTTTTCTTCCAAAGCACTTCTGGGTGGATTCGAACCACCAACCTTATGGTGAACAGCCAAGCACGTCTCTGAATGCACCACCCCGGGGCTCTCAAGGTACAAAGATACCACAAAAGAAACTCTGTGTGGTTTACCTGCAAGAAAGTATGCACTGCGTGTGTTACAGGGAAAACGCCTTCCGTGACTGACAAACATTCCGAAAATCCCACGAAGTATCCGATTTTAAAGCATCCTAGGATGATAGTGATGGCTGCAAAGAGTGTGATGCTACCTAAATTGGGGTACAACACATACGTGTTAATAGGTACAGGTGTCATTGTTAAATAGCTTACTGATACCTTACACTGCTAGCCCGAGACACTGAGTCCTAGAGCCCTGTGCATCGTGGGACCCACCAACACGCCTACCCCAGGGTCTGAGGCATGATACCCACTCAACAAAGGCTGGACGAGGCCCGTAGAAACTTGTACAGAGTGGGTCAATCTGAGAGCAGTACTCCCCTACAGGACATCTTAGCTGGCTTCCTACTTTCTAAAGAGGATACCCCAACTCTCAGTACACCCCCGAGCCACCCAGAGTCCTTCACATTGTCGTTGGTGTGCAGTTGGCTTTAACTCAGCGAGATCGACGCACACGGGATCACTCCACTGTGATCCACAGGGTCTTCGCAGACTGATTTTCAGTTGTACAGTCAGCCCTTCCTATCCGCGGATTCCACATTCGGCGACTCAACCAACTGTGGACGGAAAAATCCATTAACTTCCCAGGAAGTAAAGCTTGAATGCGCCCTATGCCCAGTACTATGTTGAATCCACTCCAATGAAGAGGGGACGCGAGTCCCGGTGTGACTTCCACCGTCTGTGTCACGGGTCCTCCATGTCCCTCCATCACTCGAGGGTCCAGCATCGTTCTAGCGTCTCATTCATTCACTACCTGTGCTGTGTGTGTCTTTCTTGCTTCTGTGAAAAAATGGCTCCCAGAAACCAATGAAGGGGTCAGAGCAATCCCTCAAAGGCTGATGTAGCATAACATGCTATTTACATAGCATTTACTGTGTATATGGGTATCATATGTAATCTGGTGGCACTGTAGAATAAGCACGGAACTCCTCACCACAAGGTTGGAGGTTCAAATCCACCAGTCACTCCTTGGAAACCCTTATAGTACGTTATGACTCAGAACAGACTCAATGGCACTTAACAACACACATGATTTAGGATACACAAAAGCATTTTGCAAGTTATATATACATCCTACGCCTGAATTTGGGTATCCATGGGGTGGGTCCTGGAACCAATCCCCTGGGGATACCGAAGGATGACTGTAGACCACCGGGATTTTCTTCCTAAATTGTCTTAATCTGGAAGCACGGCTGAAGCCTGTTCAGTATCGTATCAACATGCAAGCCGCCACGGGCACACAGGCAGTGACTGGCAGGAGACGGTGGCTGGAAATGAACCTCACATCCCAGTCAATGCATGAAAATGCAGTGACCACCCCCCGCCCCCCCACACACACCCACAGAAGGCACAGCCAATTCCCATACATGGCAACACCATAGACAGAGTAGAAGTGCTCCATAGGGTTTCTGAGGCCATACATAGTTACGGAGACAGACCACCTCAGTTCTCTCTGTGGGATCTGCTGCTGTCTTCGCACTGTTGGCCTTTCCATTCACAGCCCAATGCTTAGGCACTGCACCACCAGAGACCTCCTATGCAACCCATCCATGGAGGTTTGCTTTCTCTTTTTAACTTCTTGTTATGAGTTGAGTGAAGGCTTACAGGGCAGATCATCAGTTTGACATTCAGCATAGCATCTACTTGGTTTCATCTCAACGTCTGCCGTCCTCTCCATGGAACAGCAGTTAACCTCTTCCTCCCCGTCCGTCGTTCTGGTTGCCTTTCCCCCTTCTTTCCCCTCACTTGTGATTTTTTGCCTTTAGCTAAATGCTGTTCTTTGATCTCAAATGGTTTATCACTTTATGGTGTGAGTACCTCACTCGTGTTGTCTTCTAACCCTATGTATTGCTTGGTTGACATCATACTTAGTAAACTGGAGGGTCAGTGAGAAAGAGGAAGACCCCCACAGAGAAGGACTGAGACGGGGCAGCAGCAATGGGCTCAAACATAACAACAATCGTGAGGACGGCACACGGACCAGGCAGTGTTTCCTTCTGTCGTGCATTGTTGTTGTTGTCATTGTTGTTGCTAAGTGCCACTGAGTTGGTTCCCACCCATAGCAACCCTGTGTAGGGTTTCCGAAGAGTGACTGGTGAGCTTGAACCACCAACCTTGCAGTTCAAACGGCTTTGCAGTCTGGCACATTAACCCATAAGTCAGAACAGATTCAACAGCACCTATCAGCATTGCTTTGTTGAAATGTTAACCACGAGAGTGAGCTCAGTTCCAGACCTGAAGGACAAATCCGGGACCATAGTCACTAGGCTCCTCCATTCTCTTTCTGACCAGTAAGTCTGTTTTGTTTGATTTTGTTTGAGTTTTGCTCCACAATTTCTCCCACTGTATCCAGGATCCCTTCTGAGCAGCTGATCGTGGTAGCCGGGCACCATCTAGTTCTTCTGGTCTCAGGATCGTGGAGACTGCTGTTCTCATGTTCCATGAGGCCAGTGGAAGACACATTTTCTCCAAGAGTCTTCGGTTGTCATCACGCTTCTTATCGGTGGAGGCTTTGCGTATCTGTGATTCTGAATATAGGTTTCAGTCAAGCTCCCAAACCAAAACGCACTAGGAAAAAAGGTATGGAGAGCTACTTCCAAAATTCAGCCAATGAACACCAGTCTTTAACCAATCATGGAGATAGAAGAGGCACAAACAAAGCAGTTTCCTTCTCAGGTGCCTGGGGCTGCCTGAGCCATGAGTTACAGCTGAGTCAGCAGCAGCTAACAACGGTGAAGCCGGAAGAAAGTGTGGAGTTTATTGAATAGAAATGCACCAATATTGGTTCCTTAGTTGTCACAAATGCACCGTAACAACCCAAGACATAAACAGCACAGGGCACTGAGTGAGGGTGTGCGGCAATTGTCTGGGCAGTTTTTCTGTCAATCTAAAAGAAGGTAAAGTGAAGGAAGGTAGCATTCACCAAAAAGCCAAACTCATTGTCTTCAGGTTTACCCCAACGCTTATTGACCCTCTAGGGCAGAGGAGAAATGCCCATAGGGTTTCCAAAGCTATCAATCTTCATGAAAGCAGACTGTCATGCCACATCTTTCTCCTGGCTGGTGGGTTCGAACTACTGACCTTTCAGTTAGCAGACAAGCACTTAACCATTGTACCACCAGGGCTCCTTATGGTTGTGAACAGAAAACAAAATGGAATAAATTTGAAAAATCTAGAGAGAAATACACAAAAAATATTTTAAAGGAACTTGCGACAAACATTTTTAATTAATGGAAAAATCACACTGCTCATAGGAATGAAAATCCTCAGAAGTGGACCAATAAATAACATTATAATAAACAGAGAAAAGATTTAAGTCATCAAAGACTTCATTTTGTTTGAATCCACAATTAACACTCATGCCAGCAGCAGTTAAGAAATTGGTGTATTACACTGCACAAATCGTCTGTTGTTATTAAGTGCCATCGAGTCGGTTCTGACCCATAGCAACCCTGTATACGGTTTGAGGAATGGCTGGCGAGTTTGAACCACCAACCTGTGGATCAACCTGACTTTGCAGTCCAGTGCATTAATCCACAGTGACACAAGATGCCAAATCTTCTGTAAAGGACCTCTTTATAGTGTTGAAGAGCAAAGATGTCACTTTGAAGACCAAAGTGCACCTGACCCAAGCCATGGTATTTTCAGCTGCCTCATATGCATGTGAAAGCTGGACAGTTAATAAGGAAGACCGTAGAAGAATGGATGCATTTGAGTTACGGTGTTGGAGAAAAATATTAAAAGTACCATGGACAGCCAGAAGAACAAACGAATTTGTGTTGGAAGAAGTAGTCAGCATGCTCCTTAGAAGCCAGGATGGTAAGACTTCATCTCTCATACTTTGGGCCTATTATCAGGAGGGACCAGTCTCTGGAGAAGAGCATCATGCATGGTAAAGTGGAGGGTGAGAGAAAGAGAGAAAGACCTCGAACAAGATGGACTGGAATGGTGACAGTATGCATGGACTCAGAATTAACAATTCTAATGATGGTACAGGACGAGGCAGTGTTTCCTTCTGTTGTGCATAGATAGGGTTGCTGTGAGTCAGAACTGACTTGAAGGCACCTCATAACAACAACACAGGAATTTTAGCAACATCAGAGCCTCTAACCCCCTTCCTGGGCCAACACTGTTTGCTCCCACAGACAGGAGGACACTGGATTCTGTGTCTCTTGCAGTAAAGGCCCTGGGCCCTGACAAGAGTGCTAAGGAACCTGCTATGAAAGTGATACAACCGCCTGGCATCTCATTTCCTTTGCTCGAAGCGTTGTGGAAACAACACTAAGTCACATTTTTTTTCAATCCTGGAAAACACCCTAGTGAAATCAGAGACTTTACTAAGAGTGGAGATTTAATCCCAGGCCTTTGAAATGGTTGGACAAATGTGTGCTTCATTCCAACAGAAAGAAACAGCAAGACAAGGAGAGGCTGCCTGGTTGGGATGGCGTTCTGGATCGAATAGTGTCTTCCCAAAATATCAGTTGGAATTCTGTCCTTTGTAATATGGGTGTCATCCTGTTTGGAAATGGGGTTGTTCTTGGTCTCCGCGGGTGAGTTTGAACTGCTGACCGTATAATAGAATTCCTATCCTACAGTGCCACACCAAGACTCCATATTGGAGCAGGGTAGTTTTAAATCTAATTACTTCCTAGTCATAAAAAGACCTGATTAGACCAATGTTGTTGTTGTTGTTGTTAAGTGCCGTCGAGTCTGTTCCGACCCATAGCGACCCTGTATAGGGTTCCCGAGAGTGTAAATCTTTACGGGAGTAGAAAGCCTCATCTTTCTCCCGCGGAGCGGCTGGTAGTTTCGAACCGCTGACCTTAAGGTTCGCAGCCCGATTCGTA